TTTAATGCACACAAATCTATTAAAAAATATCTATTTACAATATTTTGAAAGTTCCATGTTAGAAAAAAGGAGGGGAAACTACCGGATAAATATCCGATTTACTTTGTTGGACAATACAAAAAGTATATAGACTTGAACGGAATCTCGGCTAATCACTTTATCAACCGATTACTTCCGATCGCACTGCAAACGGACTTAATTACACTTTACCAGTTTTTTGTTCCGATTAAATTCACGTTAGTACATAACATAAATTGATGATATTTTATTTCCTCCAGAGAAAAATTCTTTCGAGGATGTTTGTGCTGTTTTTTTGCCGGGGGTTTATCGATTATATGCTCTAGATAATGTTGACTTTTTATTTATGGGTATTTAGGAATATTTTATTCTCTAAATAGTATCCAACAAAAAATTTTTCTTTTTAATTTTATTGTAAATTTAAAAATCTACTCTAGATATAGGAATAGTTCAAGAAATCTACATAGTGTGATATTTAAAGTAATGAAGCCGTATACAGAGTGTCCCTGCTTTTGATTTACAGACTCTAACTATATAAAAGTAAAAGTAACTTAAATTCGTAAAGTACAAACTTTGTTTTTTTTTTTAAATAGGAGCATGATGTCATTTATTAAGAAAAAATTAATAAACTTTGCTTAAATTATTTTTTTCTGTCCCTACAGTTTGAAATACTAACAAACATTTTAGAAACGTCAAATAAATAAATTATTTAACAAATGTTTAAACTGTGCTTCATCACTCAGCACCCAAGTCTCTATATAGAAAATAACTGCTTTATTGCAGGACGTAATTATCATGTCTGTGCTTATTGTTTGGCAACCTAGAAAAGGAGGTTGCTCTGATGACAATGACACGCCTTCGCACGGTTGGAATAGAACCTGATGAAGGCTCTGATGAGGCAAGACGATGCGCTTGGCAGGAGGTGCTCCTTATGCTCCCACTGCTTCAAGCGAATATGGACTCCATCTTATCTTCCATAAGCCATATAAAGTTATAACAAAACAAACAGAAGAGCCGGAAGTGGCAAGAACGATTGCTTCATATCTACGCCAAGGTTTTAAAGTAAAACATGGCTAAGGATGAGGAATATCTTCAGATCACTAACCATAAACATAAAATAGTGCCAGTGTAGTTCAAAGAGATCTCACGGGAATTCTCATACCAGCAAAGAAATATCATTAGAAGGAACATGCTCATCTATACAGATAGCAGACAAGCACTACTCACCCTAAACAGACCACGAATTTACTCTGGGTTAGTAATAGAATGTCACGAAGCTTTGGCCGAAGTATCCATCAACAATGTGGTCACCTTAAGATAGATCTTTACTGATTCACTGGCCAAGAAGGCAGCCAACAAAATACTTTTTGGACCTAATCATTCTATTGGCCTGACAAAATCGGTAGTGACAGACCTAATTAAAGATGCCCTTGTGAAATTCAAGAAAAGATGGGATGAAACAAGAAATTGCAAAGTTGCCAGGAAGCTTTTAAGTTATCCTGACAATACTACAGAAAACAAATACTTGATTATAACTAGACAGAATCTGCGCCTGGTCACAGGCATTCTGACTGGTCATTGCCAAGTACGGAAGCATCTCTATATCATAGAGCTGTCAGAATAAGCACTCTACGATTGCCCGACACTCTCATTTATTAGAAGACTTGTATTCGGCGAGTATTGGCTGACACCAGCCGATATAAGAGAAGCACCTCTTGGCGACGTTGTCAACTACATTAAATAGGAGCTAGGAGGTGCCTATCATTTTAGAATAATGCACAATCTTATAGATATAAGTTCTATAAATAGCTTTAAAGCAAAAAATTAAGAGACGTCAGGTCTGGTTAGGTAATTTGTCACAATTTCTGCATTGTGAGGTCGAGTCTTTCATTTAGAGGAATATCCTTTAATAAACCTGGCAGCTCGCTTTTTAAAATTTAATAATAAGTTACATACACACTCTCTGTATATTTCTTGTGGAATTTTGGTTACTGTTTAATCCCTAAAAGCGAACAAACATTTTTACAAATTGTTGCTTGCGACATTGAGCTCAGTTACATTATATTTAAATCCATCTCATTCATTTCATGCCATCTCTTAAAACCTACTATAACAAACTGCTTCTGTTTTCCTTAGAGGTGTCCACGGAATGTTGGTTTACGTTAAAGGACATAAATAATAAAGAATTTTACCATTTGTTGTCAAATATTTTATATAACACTTAATTTACTTACCACAATTGGGTTTTCTAGCTTAGGAACTTACCTAAAACAAAATAAACAAATGTTAATATTTAATAATAAAAAACTTATATCCATTATCAATGCATTCATGTAAATATAAAACCAAGTAGACCAGAAAACTTGTTAATTAAAATAAATAATTGAATTAAAAAGTTTAAATTCAAATTTAATGAAACCATCGTTTGGTGTAAAACTACGCTATAATTCAATTATTATTGACCAAAAGTGAAACCATTAATGGAATTTGTTACTTTGATGCATCCAAAATTGTAAGTATATAAAACAAATTGAGTAAACTTTGGTTTTAATAAGTTGAGACTAGTATATAGAATGTTTCAGGGAAAATATCAACATGTCCAAATGTGCCTCTTTTAATAATCGATATACAGGTATTACAAAAAGGCTTTTTTTCCAAAAGAAATTCAAACTATTTTATTGGTTAATTAATAATCCTCTTGGAAAACTTTTCACTTATGATTACTAAAAAAAATTTGTGTACCAAATATTGATAATTCAATATATTTAACGACTTTTATTATTGTCAATTTTTCTGATACTCTGTATTGGACCCTACCATAAATTTGGGCATGATTTGTTATTTATTATGTTTATATAATGTTATTTATTCATACCATTTGTCACAATTTTATCTCAAATATTTAGTCACAATTTTATTGTTAATTATTCAATATATATATTGTATAAATAAATGAAATAATACATAATTGTTCATTTTACTTGATTCACCTGACTGTGCCAGTTTTGTCCCCTTTTACTAATTTAAATGGACACCCATGTATTAAACCCATTCTAATTATGTGCTAAGGGCAAACACAAACTTAGATGCCGAGACAAACGAAATTATTCAATTAACAGTTAGATCGATTGATCTGTTAATTTGGAGGGTAACTTTATTAGCATGGATCGATAGTTGATGTGCCTTTTTCAACTACAATTTCTCATCCTTCTGGCGTTAAACAGATGGTTTACGGCGATTGATGAGCGTGCATATTTTTTGTTTGAAATGTTCACGTCCCTCCCGAGACTTCTCAGAAAATATAATCGCATTACCAAGCTTAAACAGTAAGGACCAAAAGTTTTTAAACCGACATTGTTAAAGGAAAAAATAATTATTTTTAACTTTCAGTATATTCTTCTCTTCATTTATTAGAATACTAATCAATTATTTGTACATCTTTATTCCTGTGAATATTTAAAACAAAGTTTCATAATAGGCTAAGTGTGCTTATATCTTAAATTTTTTATTAGAGTATTGCTATATCTTAAACCATATTCTGGAGATTTTTTTAACATCCTGAATACACGAGTATTAACACTTTTCAAGGGTTGGAAAAGGATTTCTTATATTCTTACACCCATTTCCTTATAAATACATAATTTCTGTGTCACTGAAGCAAAACTTATAGCAAAATAACACATATCAGCAAAAATCGCACGTTTCTATAATTTGTTTAAAAGTTATAAGCTCTGGCTACTTTTCATTGGGACACCCTGTATTTTTAAATAAAATATTTTAACAAAATTTTTATTTTACTTAAAAAAACTGGTTCATGATAATTTTAGATAAATGTAAATCAAATGAACTGACAATATTTTTTTGAAAACCATCTCCATAAAGCTCTCGAACTCTTGGGGGTTCGAGAACCACCCTTTAGGAATCGCTGGTTTATGAAATTTCTTTCTTTTATTCGAATGATTTTTTAGTACGAGAGATGAAAATCCGGAGTGAAAACAGAAAATAATGAAATTCTAGGTATATATTTGTTCGAATTAATTTAAACAACTGCATATATTTTCAATCTCATCTACCCACTCGACTGTTATTGCCAAACCGGAATTGTTTTCGAAGGTGTTGAACAAAAGGAATTATAGTTGTAAAATTCTTTAAAAGTAGTTTATCCCATGGACAACAATAAAAATCTATTCGCGTTTGCATTGTACAACAACAAAACTAGTAATAAAACTTAGCGTTTTCCGTTTACATGCAATCGACTTTAACCTGTAAGAAATGGCTTGGATAAAATAAATGGAGAACGCTCGCTTCTTGTGGTTGCTTCTCCGCGGAAAGTATCACGTCGGGTCAAATGAAAATTTCAAAATTCACTTCATGTGCTTTCCTAACCTATCATTTGGTCTAAAATATCGCTGTGTAGGAAGTTAAGAGGGATTGCTACGGTGGCACGGCAAGTAAATATGGCGAAATGTAATTATTATCTATATTTTTTGTAGTTTTGAGGTGTTTTTGTAAATATTTGTAAGAATATAAGAACATACCATAAATAGAATGTAGACCGTAATTTTGATAAAATTTGTGCCTTCATTTAGTTAAATATATTGCTTTTACATTTTTTTTCTGACTGATACCCTCTTTATTAAAATGATTTCCAAACATTTAAAAACTATCAAATTTTATTAAGAGGGGTAGACTTGCCTTCTACTGTAGAACAAAAAAAAAGGTTTTGAGTGGTTTGTTATCTCAAAAGTCAAACAATAGGAGTTTTTCAGAGATAAATAATCCTTATAATCATAAAGATGATCACAGAAATGGAATTGTCAATTAAAGAAGTCAATACAGAAATAAAAAATTTTACTGGTAATAAATCTGATCCAGCTTTTAAACGAATTAGTTCTATATTACTTATCTAATAGGGTAGCTAATTTAAAAGTAGAATCGGATGAGGAAGCTACAGCTCAAAGCACAATAAAAATAAAAAAATCATGTTAGAAGCTGATTTATCAGAAAAAATTAATAACAATTCTTCTGCAGAACAGGTTAGTTGTCCTTCATATACAAGTGTAGATGTTCATAAATGGGGTGTATTAACAATTCGTTGTTTGATTTTTTGGAACATGTTAAGAATATCTAGGGGTCTTTCGAAACAACAAGTGTTTCAAAGTAGCTGTGATATTTTAAAAGGTGATGTTCTACTTTGGTATATGAATAATTGTTCTAAATTCACTGACTGGGATCACCTTGTAGAACAATTAAAATTACATTTCTTACCTTGTGACTATCAATATAATTTAGAGATTCAAAATAGAAAACAACTTTATTCTGAAAGTACAACATTATACATTTCTTACACGGAAAAACTTTTTAAAAGATTAACTATCTTGCCAGATGAATGTAGAATATTAAATATTATTAAAAAAAATCTTTTACTATATTTATTTCTGTTAGCGTTGCAAGAACCTAAGACTATTGATGAATTATCTATTTTATGTAAGAAGCTAGAAGATGCTCAAAGTTTATCTCCAAATTTTAAACATCCCCATGTAAATAATACTGTTGCTCTTGGTAGTAATAATTTTTTAACTAATACTAACCAGTACCGTAGTAACAATAGTCAATGAAATAAAGGTAGATTAGCTAATGTTTCTTGTTATAACTGTGGTAAAGTTGGACATACTTATTTAACATATTTTTCTAAACGGAATCTTTTGTTATCGCTGTGGATACAAAAATAAAACAGTAGAAAATTGTCATAATTGTTCAAAAAACGGACTACAGGCTGTACCTCAAGGTCTGGCTATGGGCCGCAGTCTTACAAATGATCAAAATTTGCTAGGACCATCTCGAAAAAACAATTCACAAGATACAGAAAACAGGAAACAAAATTAACTTCTATAACGGAATGGAAACAATATCTATCATTTGTAAAAAATTTCTTTAATAAAATATCTAACTCCAGTGCTATACCTAAAAAAAATTCTTATAATTTATATATAATAGTATTTTAGTTAATGACAGTACCTCACTATCTCTAATAGTAGAGGATGGGTCAAACATACAAGGTGTTTCCCTAAACAATTACTTAAGTCCTTCATTTTTTAAGAAACTAAATGATAATAGGCCATATTTAAAGGTTAAAATAAACAATGTTGAAATATTAGCTTTAGTAGATACAAGTTCTAATTCAACAATTTTGGATCAACAAGCTTTTAATATTATCCATAAAATAAATACACCTATCTTATATGATGATGATTTAAGTGTGACTACTGCTGATGGGATTTCATAAAATATATTAGGTTTTATAAATGTACTAGTCAATGTTGATATTATTACAAAAACTTTAAGAATTTTACTTATACCTACAGTAAAACATAATTTAATTTTGAGCATAGACTTTTTAAATTTATTTAATATTGATATTAGATGTGGTGAATTTTCATATTGTTTATTATCATCTGTATGCGCTGTAAATTCTATACAAACAATGTCAAATCTGTCTTTTAACCATAAATCTAAACTTAATGGAGTGGTAGATCTTTTTTCTACTATAGATACTGGGGATACAAAACCAATTTTTTCTAGACAGTACCCACTTTCACCTGCCATGATGGTCCATGTAAAAAAATAACTTAATGATTTACTACAATTAGGTATCATACAACCATCTGTTTCTCCTTGGTCCAGTCCACTTTGGATAGTTGATAAGAAAACTAGTACCGAAAAGATTATGTTTAGATAGTAGACGTTTGAATCAACACACTGTTTCTAATAGTTATCCTTTGCATTTAGTGGACTTAATATTGAGTAAACTTAGGGATGCAAAATTTCTTACCTCCATTAATCTTAGAAAGGCTTTTCTACAGATTCCCTTAGTTGATACCTCCAAACCTAAAGTTGGATTTTTCTTGGATAAGAGTGGTTTAAGGACGGATCCCGAAAAAATTTCTGCAATTTTTAATTATAAAATCCCCTCAAATACTACGGAAATTAAACATCTCATAGGCTTAATAGGTTGATATAGGAGGTTCCTAAAAAATGTATCCACGGTTTTTTCACCTATTAATGATTTATTAAAGAATAAGAAGAAGGGACAGTCTATAGTACGGACACCAGAAGCTGATGCTGCGTTTGTGGAGATCAAAAAGATGCTTACCACTAGCCCAATACTTGCAAGTCCAGATTATTCAAAACAATTCATTATCCAATCGGATGCTAGTGAAACTGGAATAGGTGCTATCTTATATCAAGAATGTGATGGTCTTAACGACTTGTGAAAGAAAATTATCCACTACTGAAAGAGAATTACTTGGATGTATTTTTGGAGTTGAAAAATTTCGACGTTAGAAACTGATCATTCTTCCTTACAAAATCTTTATAAATTGTCCAATCCTTCTGGTCGTTTAGCTCGGTTGGCTCTACGTTTATCTCAATTTGATTTCACTATTAAGCATAAGAAAGGTTGTTCTACAGTGAGTAATTGGTAGTAATTCTTTAAGTGGTTCAGTTAATGAGATTTCTATCTTAGATGTTGCAAAATTTAAACCTGATAAATGATATAAATCTATATTACATAAAGTTGATTCATGTCCTGAAAAATTTCTCTCTTTCAAAGTTGAAAATAGAATCTTGTATAAACATATTTTTTCTCACAGTCCTTTGATATCCAATTTAACTAATTGGAAAACTATTGTACCTAATAAGAATCGTTCTAAAATTCTTAAAATTTATCATGATGATGTTATTGGAAGTCATTTGAGTATTTCCAAAACTATCTCTCGTATTTCAGAAATTTATTATTGGCTAAATTTAAGGAAATATGTATATCGGTATATTAAAAAATGTAATATCTGTTTGTCTTGTAAAAGCTGAATATTATGGGTAATTATAAAAATATTAATCATCATTTTCAATGATTATCAATGGACATTATCGGGCCATATCCCAGAACATATATCTCTTTTGCGTTTCTTATTTATTTCTGTTTCCAGAATTTTTCGGCACTCTATTCTCCTGAATTCAATGGTGTTTCTATATTTTTGTGAGCTAATCCGCTGCATAAACTTGTCGAAATTATGAATTGAAAAGTGTAAAAAAGCTTTAAGAAATAAAAAAGTCGTTTACGCCAAGTAGTTTAAAATTCGCTTTAGAGACAAAGATTGTGAATTAGGAGTCTGAGAGTGTAGTCCGGAAAATTCTGGACGAGAATTTTGAGTCGTGGTAAAATTTAAATTAAACCAATATAATAGCGGCTTCAGACAACTTTTATTACGGTTAGCTAATAACCCTTTGTTATAAAATATGCATGTGTTGTGGAATTAATGATTCTTGAAACAGACTCCATCTTTTGTTGAGAGTTATGGCATGTAATTTCTACTGTGAAAACATCTATGGAAGAGACTCATTAAAAACTTTGGTTGGAACGTAATAAGTTTGCAAATTGACACAAATTAGTTCTGAAATTGCTTTAAAGCAAAAATGTAGCAAACTATGCAATACATATTTATCAGATTGTATAACGTTTTGATCTAGACATCCTGTATATAAATTACTGTTTAAAATTTATTAAAATGTCTTCCATTCTTCTTAAATATTATCAGTTGAGATTAAAGACAAAAGAAAATGTTTAACACGATGGACATACATTTTTAATATTTATTAATACTTTAGGACCTACCTACTACTGCTATTTTTATTTCTATGTACATGGTGTTAGCAAAATATCTACCAACCTTTTACAGATGTATTGGACAAGTCGGGAGAAAACAAAAACATAAATAAAAATTTTCGCAACAGTCCAAAATGAGTAATTACAACAAATATGATAACAAATATAGCAACTTTGAAATAGAACAATCTGGCTTACTAGACACTCAACTAGTTAACTTATTGTACATTTGCTATATTAACAAACTTCCCCAATATAAAAACTATTACACACCGTTAGTTTTCTCGAATCAAATTTAGATAATTTTAAGTCTGCAAACATATTTTAGGAGCCATATATATGCTTCCTAAATCTCATTCTAATCTGTACCAACTTCACTTTGATCAACTTTTAATGCTAAATGAGCAACATCCGAATTAGTCAATTTTACATTTTTAGAGATTATAATCTACCTACAGCAACATGGGAAATTGAAGATTTCTGCTATTCAGCTTCAGCTCATCACTATCGGAAGAAGGTGCTATCGAAATCGTTTCGAACATACATATGCACTTTTTACAATCTTTTCCAGTCCAACAAAGTGCTCAGTCAAAGAGGAGTTATCCTCAACCTTGTTTTGTCCCCGGTGAAACTTACAGTGATGGTAGCCGTTGATATATTGATCCCACCTGATGTTCATCATCCTCCTCTTGAAACTTCAATTCAATATAAGTCGAACTCAAGTGATGCTCCTGGAGAAGAGTATTATTATGATTTTCGCCACGCCAATTTTGAGGGTATACGCCAATATTTGGAGGCAATGGATTGGGATGGGCTTCTTCAAGGAAATGAACTTTTAGAAATGATTCTTACTTTTTATGACGCTTTGTACTCTGTAATTGAGTTATTTGTTCCCTTAAAGAAATTTGTTATAAACAGATTCCAACATTGGTATTCTTTTCAACTCAGAAGCTTGGTCAACGATAAAAAGGCTGCACATAACATTTACAAGCTAAACAGGACTCCCCAAAATTATAAAATATTCAGTCAGTTAAGATCACAATGCAGGATTATATCTAGAGACTGCTATTCAAATTACATACATTCTGTTGAAACTTCTGTTAAAAGTAATGTTAAAGCCTTTTGGAATTTTGTAAGTACCAATAGATCTAATAACACCATACCTGATAATATGAACCTTGAAGACTCCTTTGCTTCTTGTGGCAGTGAAGTATCAAATCTGCTTGCCAAGCATTTTTCATCAGTTTATACTAATCAATATCAAAATCAAAATTTTAAAGATATTGAATCAAAACTTAATGTTTCCTCTTACCACATTTCTATTTTGACCATTTACGAGAAATTATCTAATCTTGACATAAAGAAAGGCCCAGGTCCTGAGATTATTCCTCCCATCCTACTTAGAAAATGCAGCTTCGTATTGTCTCACTCTCTCTTCTATATTTTCAACAAATCTATCGCCACGAGTTTCCAGATGATTGGAAACTATCTTATGTCACCCCAATATACATATATACCTATATCTATTCTCAGTACTATATCTAAGGTTTTTGAGAACGTTATAACAGACTACCTTAGCTACTCGTATGACTGCTCTGGTATCATAACGGATCATCAATATGGTTTCTGTGCTGTGAAATCGACTGAATTAAATCTAGTTACCTACGTCGACTTCCTCTCGGAAGCTTTGGAGAAGGGTTGCCAGATTGATTCTGTGTACACTGACTTTTCTAAGGCTTTTGACAGAGTCAACCATTCCACCTTACTTCAAAACCTCGAAAAATATGGCGTAAATGGGGTCTTACTGCAATGGATTAGTAGCTACCTTACGAATAGAACTCAAATGGTTAGAGTAAAATCACTATTCTAACTCATTTCAAGTTACCTCAGGTGTTCCTCCAGGATCACACCTTGGTCCCTTATTAATCAACTTATTTATAAATGACATCATTT